TTTGAGTGAGTCAAACCGGCATATGTATAGTATCCTTGTGATCTCTCAGGTACCGTTGTGCCGGTATGAATTTTGGCGGAATCCAGTATGTTTATAAGCAGTTAACAGGTGTATTGCCAATGCGTCAGTCCAGCATGAGATGTCGTGGTGAATACTTCTGCAGCTCTTAAGTAAAACCGATTTATCTCCCAATACTACTCTCTCTAATCTGCACAGGCGTAGCCTCGGGCGTGGCTTATTGGCAGATACTCCAGACGCTTTTGCAAATTATAGCTATATTATAAACTTTGAAGTAGTATACCGACATATCTGCATATTTTTCTGTTCCCAGAAAATTTTCTAGTTATTTGCCACCGATGCAGCTACAAGCAAAACCAAACTCAATTTTATGCACAAAAGAGATAGCTCTTAGATGAAAGATCAAGTAGATATACAGAAATAATCAAGTAGAAAAACTTTGATGCGTTCTGGTGAGAAATAGTAGTTCTGCAGATACGCCGGTTTGATTTCATAGCGACGATATGGTATTTGTGAGTGGAACATTTTGTTATTTACATGCCATAATTGTTGTCTGAAACTTTTTCCTAAATCACCATTCTGGATCTCAGTAATCATTCGGTTGAAAAATATACTAATTTCTGAACACCATGGAAAGTAAACTGTCATGCGCGAGAGGACGCATAGTTGTGCTAAAGTTTTCAAGTTAATCTAGCAACGTTTGCGAAAACACAAACTACTTCCTACAGTTGAAACTGAAATGTTTTAAAAACCAAAAAATAATTGACCAAATTGGTGCAAAAGAGGGTTGTGACAACGTTGTGTTAAGGTTGCCACGCGACTAATACTTGGTTGGTCATTTGATGCACTACAGAAATTTTATTAATGTAACAAAGAAACTATTCAGATGAAAAAAAATCCGTACTTGGTATGTATTCATCATCATAAAAAACAACAAACAGGCGAATTTTGACGCGCATTAATAACCAGCTACTGAACTATAATGGGTTTATAAAATAATCATGGAATAATAATTATTGTTGTTACTGATAGGTCATAAAAACAAGTGAACTATGAAGTAACATCATGTAAAAATGATTGACATGGGAAGTTTGATGTTGTGGAAATTGTATCTAATTGAATAATTTGAATACTATGTATGTACGCATTCTTCTTCCACGCAGAATAAAGCTATTGAGTGGTAAGAATATGTAATGAAAATACTGAAGAAAATAAAAATGATTTCATGAATTGCACTTGATTCATGATAATGTGATATCTCTATAATAAAATAACCAATTCTGCTCTCGTTTGTTAAGTTTGAATCTGTGGTATGAATTCGAACAATCATAATAATAATTCCTCTACGTATTTTTTTTTATTTTTTTTTTCACCTATAACAACGCTTTCGAGTGAAATTCAGATATTATCTATTGTTAATATATCCATCTCCATAATGAATCGACCAATTTTCCGGTTTTATTCTATTAGAATTCTTTTTTTTTTCACATGGGGTGTCGCGATTGATTGGTCAAAGCAAAACTTCAAGGATTTGAAATCTATTTCAAGAACTATTGAACATTACTTATTTTCACGGTATTTCCTGTATTAGGAAATGGTCAAACAAATACAACTCGTGATACTATTTTTTCTGAAAATATACTTCGACTGACATACTGCAGCTTGCTTGCTGCTATGATAATAATCTCGGTTTCACTCCATCTGCAATATCTCTAACGAATTTATCGATTTTGCTCTAGTTTGTTTTATTTCCATTCCTTTTCTAATAGAATAATAACAGGTAGAATAATGTTGTTGAGTATTAGTGCAAGATCTTGAGATATTGAAGACAAAACAACACTGATTTTAGGGCTCATATTTTCTCAACGAAATGATGAATTTTGATAATGTTAGTTTGGTTCCCATATGGCTAAACTATTTTGATTTGTCACATGCGATTTTTCTCTGCATGAAACTGTGACGAAAATACAGTATTTATTATCTCTTTCGCACCGAGTTTGATTTCTCGAAAAAATATCAAGAAAATCGATGTGGAATACTGTGTGTGCTTAAAAAAAATTAAACAAATAATCACAGAAAAATCATTGTACGTCAACATATCATCTGCTGCAACGCACTGCCAACCGTTTGGAACCTGCGTTGGTATTAATATATTCAAAGTAAAGTGCCCTCACATTTTTGTAAACCATTATTTTTACAATTTCACATAAATCATAATCTCCGACCCCGAAAACCCCCAGATACCAATTCAGAATAAAATCAGATTACATAATTCGTCCGCCATATTGGATCCGCATCTTGCATTTTCTATTTGAAAAATAGATTACGACCGATTCTCATACCTACCAAATACGCACAATAATTTTCATACGAATAGGTCGAGCCGTTTCGGAGGAGTTTGGTACTGTTGAATTTGCAATAATGAGCTCTACTTGATTGTGGAATAACATACTGGGTGTCCCTATTCAAATAAAAAAAGTTCATGTGCACTTCGATGTGGCCCTGTATACATACATCATTAGCATCATCAAATATACTGGGTGACCACTCGATGGAACGGTTGGTTCAAAATCTTACTACCATTTGGACTGAAAGGAGAGTCAATACGATAATACTAACCTGGAAACCATGAATCTCAGTGCAGGCAATGTTCGAATTACTTCTGTAAGTGTAACGCGGTATTTTTCAGAAACTGCTCATCAAAAATGAGGAACTATGGTACGGTGAAAAGAGAATTGATGCCCTTCAAAATAATGTGCATCTTGACCCCCTTTTAAATATTATGTTCTAAAGGTAACATCTATCCCTCCTAGGGGGTAGAAGCAAGCGGGCTGAAACCCCCTTCGATTTTTCATATTATTTACTAGAAGGAAGATATGGCAAGTCTTGAAAATGTCACCCTTTGAATATGATAACTGTGAAATACATTACACAAAGATCGTTTCAGAATCTATCACGAATAAAATAATTTAATTGAACAATTCAACTACCAGTTCAAGCCAATGTTGCTTATACGCAACATGTCATAAATATGTCATTTTTGGTAATATATATCTTTGACGATTGAAGATTTTTTAGAATGTTGCATGAAGAATAAATATTCAGAAAAAATGTCTAATTGATATTTTTCATAATTTGGTGAATGGGTCAATAAGATGGTAATAAACACAGCACATTAACACTGTAACGTCGAATTTTGACATACGTGAATTACTTTATGAAAAAGATGCGTCACACGTAGTTAACACGATGCACCGGGTACCGGCCGGGTACTCGGTACCCGGCTTCGCGTTGGATACCCGGCCAGGTATTTTTTCGGGAATAAACGGTGGTCAAGACAAAAACTAAAAGGCTCGAGAAGAGAAATATATTAATAACACAAATAACATTCTCACTAGAACCCATTGATGTTTCAAAGAATAACGTTCGTCGGCAGTGTGGCTTAGTGCAATATAGATATTAGGAGATAGATATGATGGAATATAGAAACTACACGACAGCTTCAATGCACTTATTTGGTTGATAATACCCGGCCGCCGGGTATCCGTTACCCGGCCTACCTTTAAAATCGGGTACCCGATACCCGGCTTTTTCAGAAAACAGTTCCCGGTGCATCCCTAGTTAACACACCCATACAGCGATGCCACAGTTATTTCCATAATACATTATAATTTTATGTAACGATGAAATAACGAGAATTTTAATTATTTCAATAGCAGAATTCACATATTTCAATCAAGAAACAAACATACAGATTGAATATACATACAAAATTTATATTATAAAATTAATGTATGATAAATGCTTCCCTCTTTCTCAAGCACAGGCGACAGATCTAGGGCAATACCCAGAAATTTGTCATCGTTTTCTGCTGAACTACACAATGAGCATTATGTGTTACGCCACTGTTAAAGTTTTAAATAATAATATGTCTGCACTCATTCAAAGAAGGGGTACAGTAGGGTCCCTTGATGTAAATTGACGTATTTGTCATCTTAACAGGGCACGGACAGATCCTCGTCTCCTCTCACTCTAGTATTTGTGAAACAGTTATATAGTTCCATCTTTTTTCATTTCTGGGGATGAACACTAGATTTCTGACATATATTGAGGACATTGGCGTATCATAGGTAATTTTCTTATGGAATTCTTGATTCAACTATACCACGATATAGATGAACAATCAATCCTCAAGTTCTAGAGTTTACTACTCCAGCATAATCTTCGCGAGGTAGGGAACATATAAATTGCACTGAAAGCTTAATATATTTCACCAAAAGAGACTTTTCTTAGACTGTATACCAGGGTTGACTGAATTGACTGAATGAATTCTGATTTCAAGCTGAGCAGTAGTTTATCTATGGGCTGAATGAGCTGAGCCTTATGATGGAGAAATGGTGAAAACCTCGATACCAATTTTGATTTTTGAATAGAATCGGATCGCCATATTGGATCCGCTATCTTGAATTTCACAATTTTGACAAAAAATCATAAAGTTCTATCCCGAAAACCCTCAGATTCCAATCTTAAATAGAATTAGATCATGATTAGACATTTCTTTCGCTATATATTGGATCCGTCATCTTGAATTTTCCAAGTTTGACGAAACAATCATCATCTCCAACCCCGGAAAACCACCGAAAACCCCAGATACCTTCCAATTTTGAATAGAATCGGATCATAATTACAAAACTCGTTCGCCATATGATATTCCTTAACAAGTAAATATCCTGTAAATACCTATTTTTAAAATTTTGAATGATTTTCTGTAGCGCCCATGGATGTGACGTGACAGCAATGTTAGGGATGCCAGTAGACAAAACTAAAGTCTCTAGATCATTCAAAAAGAATGCAGCTATGGTTTGTCTGTACCCTGTTATGATGACTTTAACGTCAATTTCCATCAAGGGACCCTAGTGTGAACGATCAAGGATAACAGTAACAGATGAAGATTGATGTGTTCCAATGTGAAATCCACTGACCTTTTTTCTATCGTCAGGCGGTACGCTGCCGTGCGACCGATGGCGGAAGATGTCCATCACCTTGGTCATGGGACTCTTGTTGGTGGAGGCGGCGGTTACGGTGTGGTAGTACAGGGTGTCCGAGCCCGAGTCACGCACCGGATGGGCGGACCCGTCCCGCGGGCCGCGGCGAGGCGGGTAAACAATGTGGGGATTCTTGAAAAAAATCGGAATTTATCTCTTTGAACATTTTTCAAAACAAAGTGTCATTGACAACCAAATGAAATTTCCTTTTTCGGTTTCTGATAGGAACAGGAACATTTTTAAACGCAGTGACATTTTGGGGCAAATCATCTGAGTTGTCGTTACTACGCGTATATTGAAGAAATGAGGCGAGAATCCCAAAAAATCTAGAAAATTTAATGAAAAATTATATTTTCACGACCACTTTGGGCAAAATATGAATAACAGGAGAAGTTGAGTAGGAATTGACTAGATTCGCCAAGTCATAACTATACAAGTGCCCATTTGCTCTTTGTAATATTGTTGTTGTTTTTTTTTTTCTATTGAATGACGAATGGATACAAATAATTATTAAAATTCAATGAACAGAAAGGAAAGATATTTGAATAACCCTTAATAAATACGTTTTCACTTGTAATTAAAAAATGCTTCTTCCAATGTCAGGAGCAAGACTAAAGATAATAAATCACGTTCTTGAAATACCGTAATGAGCAAAAATCAAGTGTTTTACCTTCTCCTTCTTTTTCTCTTTCTTTTCCTCCTTTTTTTCCTCCTTCTTCTCATCTTTTTTCTCTTCGTCAGCAACTTGGTGCGGAGCGGTGTGCGGTTTCCTGAATATATCCATAACCTTGAAATAATAATAATAAAAGTGGGTCCCAAATAATAAAATAGATGTTACGTACCTTGGTCATGGTACTTCTGTTCGCAGACGAAGAGGCAGCGGTGACCGTGTGATAGTATCGCGTATCACTGTCGTCATCTAGGACCGGATGGGCTGAACCGTCTCTTGGCGCTTTCTTAGATGAATGCAAAAGGCCGGTGTGCTAGAAAGAAAGAAATAATCACACACTTTTCTATAGGTACTTTCAAGGGAAATGTTTTTCAGAAGTCTCTGCTATCACCCCATCACTAGCACAACCAGTCAGACGAACTCGACAAGTCCAGTCAGCACATCCTTGTGTTGTCTACCTCGAAATATTATGCAAAATATCATTTTATCAAAGCTCGTTTGTCTATCGAACGGCAAATAAAGCTCTGAATGGTCCAGGACCCTTTTGTGGTTGGGCGAAAACTATACAAAAAACGAACTATACAACTCGCTAGGAAGAAGACAGGCAAAGGAGATTATTAAAAGACCATCGCCAATATTCACAGAATATCTACTGAGCCAGAAAAAAAGTTCAACTAGAATATTAGTAGGACTTCACACACATCAGTACGATAGATCTGGCATTGGGATTCTAGTGTCAGAATATATATATCTAATCATCTAATCTAATAGACCGGCAAAGTTCTGGAATTCATTGCCAAAGAAAGTATTCCCAAGAACTGATATACTCACTCCAAAAGTTCAAAAAAATCCAAATACCTATCTCCTTTTCCTATCCTCCCTAGGTACACACGATGTTCTCCGAACATTATATGGAATCCCATTCGTGCGCTCCAAGAGTTAAAAAAATACCTGGCGATGGTGAGAATGGTCCCAATCAATTCGAATTCAGGGCCCTGTTGGTTTCAAAGAGACAGTATAGGTATTACCTAAACGGTAACAGATCGAAAGCTGACGTTTTGCAGTTTCAAAATAGTTCAGCCGTTCCTGAAATATTTTGAAATAACTTGAAATCACTGATTCCGTCTTCATTCATTTTCTTGGTCAATAATCGATAGAAAACTCCGGAATACACAGGTAATTATTCATGACAAAGAAGTTGAGATTGACAGGAATATTCTACCTTCCTTATCTCCAGAGATTTACCATGCAACCTTCGTTTTTCTCATGGACGACATATTTGTTGATTATAAAATTGAATAGAACTAAAAATTACCCTTCACTGACAACGCAACATTTGTATTCTAGGTTTTTCATTACCTTTTTTCCGTTTTCATATTATCATGGCCTACCACATTTGAATATGCAGGGCAGTTTAATTTTAAGCAGTGATAACTAGCAAAAATGATGTTTACAGATTCTATGGCATGGAATACAAATTTGGCGCTTATTGAGAATACGAAAGTTGCATGGCAAATCTCTCAAACTATTGAAGAAAAACTCACCATCATGGCATTTCTCATCGACGCCATGAAGACGCTCCCCTTCCGCTTGCCGGCATCGGAGTTGGACCTGCTCCTAGCGCCTCCTTTGGTGGGACTGCCCCCTTCTTCGCCTGTCGTCCTTCGTTCCGACGAACTCGATCTCGACGTTGCCGTCTCACCTCCCGGTTTCTTCTTCTTCTTGGCGTACTTGGCCTGCTGCTGCTGCTTCTCTCTGGCGGAGGGTTTGACGTTCCTGATTGTTTCTGGGTTGGAGCCCCAGGTGCCGGAGCGGGGACGCGGGAGGTAGACGGGGTCGGGGACGATCGCAGGGGGCTGTGGAGAGTCCTGGAAGATCGATTCATTTTTTCATCAAACTTCGGGATACGATAGTCAAAGTCCAGTCGGGAGACGCCTCATATTTTAGAGAGAAAGAAGTAGTGAGAGAGGTATACAGAGAAGTTGGAGAGAGGATATGCTTCATTGTCTGAAAATGTAAGTCAAAATATAACCTTAGAATTGAGTAAAAAAACTAGAACCAGAAGAAATCGCTACTAACACCACAACATCATCATCCCTCTTAAAAGCTAGCTCCTGTGAAATATATAACATACATAATATTTTCATGATATCATTAAATTACTCTTGGTGTGCCTTATATTTTGATGATGATTTCTCAGGCAATTGCTGGAAAATCGAAAGTGTTTTTTTTTTCATAAATCATCCGTATAAGATAGTTGTTTCTTTGGCGACTCTAGGAAAATCGAATGTGGCGAATTATTTTCTCCATTGAACATCAGGATACTATAGTCATTTTCACTTGTCAGGCTTTAAATTTGAGTAATTCTTCAGCGGCCAGTTTCAAACCTTTCCAGCAAATATTACCAAAGCTCGAGATGCAAAGAATCGTAATTGAATATTTATGATGAACTGATCATAGAAAAAAATTACTATTCTTAATGCAGCTGAAGTAAATCTTGGTGGTTTGTGGTTTTCGGAAATTGTTCTCAAGTTTTCTGGGATGGAAATGACTTCAGGGGTGATTATAGGGAGGACAGTAGAAAAATTGGAAAATGTATTGCAGAGTCGGTGAAAGCGTTGGAGGATATGTTCTACTTCTGTCGAAATCTAAAGAAGGTTATTGGTTGGGATAGGTAAAGAATTATTTGGGTCGCGAATTATCGTTCAATTTCTTAGCGAACCTTTTTGATACCATTTGTATCACCACTTATGCTAAACTTCATTCTGAAAATCTGTTTTTTTGATCCTACTATTTCTTGAACTTGATTATATTTCGCTTGTGCCACAATACGAGGCAAATAAAAAATTATGTGATTTGAAGGTAAATTCAATTAGTATGATTGAAACTCACCTGTCTCAATTCTGAATCATCCCTCTTGACCCAAACATCTTCTATCTTATCCACGGTCGAAGTACTTGAAGTAGGACTCTTGATCTCAATAAGAGATGAATCAAAAAATGTTGAATCATAGTGGGGGCTATGCAACGGTGACCTATTTAATAAAATGAAAAAACAATTACAATTAATGTGATGATAAATGACACGATAAATAAGCAATTCATTTCAGTTTATACCTGAATATAGAGCTGACTGACGGTCTACTGCTGTCCTGAGAGGGAATCCCGTGCACAGTATTCGAGGGTTGGTATTGCTTTCTGGTAGCGAAGTTCTTGGCCGCGTCCGACAATTGTTTGGATTTTTTCGATGGTGAATCGTCGTCGAGAGTTTTGGTTTTCGTCACCACAAACTTGTGAGTGGTACCCCTGTAACAATAGTTAGAATTGTAGAGGGTGGCTGAATATCGAGCCTCATCACTGGGATCTCGAAAACCGTAAGTTTTACAGGGTCGGTTAAGTTATGTAAAGTTGCGCAATTTTATGCCTAACAAAATGCCATTTTGAAATATAGAAAATCCTGAATTCTTCCGAAGGTTTAAAAAAAACGAATATTAGCGTATTCACATTTATTTTTTTACCCGCAGCTTCGCTCGCGTTACATATCAAAGATCATTACATTCCAATAGAATTGAATCAATGTGGATTCAGTATTTAAAAATTACTACATACAATGAATTTTCAAAAATTGGAAAGATGTTTTATTGGAATAATTTACTTCAACAAAATTTAAAATGTATTTCACTAGAACAACATGCTTCCGCATGGATTATTTGTTGCCACCTACTCGACTCTAGATGTACCAATTCAAGTAGTATTGAATTCGTGCATTTTGAATGCGCAGAGGACTAAAACTTCAATGTCATTCATGGTCAAGTCACTGAATAGTAAAAAATCTGTAGGGTATGTGCCATGCAGTCATGAATTTGTGTCTTTGAAGTGCCCACCTGATGATAGGTTAGATATTTGTTATTTTCAATTCATCATCTGAATAATCCGAGTACCAAAAAAGATATTCTGATAATTAATATCTAAGGTACCGTCGTATAGAGATTGTTGGATATTTTGTGTCTAACAATCATGTCTGCCAAAATGAATATGTTTACCCGACGTGAATTTTTCTTTCAATAAAAAGTAACATATGTCGTCTCTAATACATTTAAGAATATGTATACAATGTTTCTCGATAATCAGTTGAGTAGTTTTAGCTTGAAAGCATGACAAACCAGCTTACATTCACATTTATAATATAAGTAGGGATAGGGATGATTATTTGAATAGATGTAATAAAACAAATTACACATTCTCAAAACATATTTTTGTTAGGCATAAAATTTCTCAACTTTGCAATACATTAACCGACCCTGTATCTCTCACGGATTACGAGATCCCAATGACGAAGCTCGATTTTCATCCACCCTATAATGGTCAATTTTTGTTTTCGTGTTATACATCATCTGATAACTTGCTACACACGTTTTTAATATCGAAGTATACTCACTGACAAAACAAGTAAGACACATGAGATTATGTTAAAGTTAGCTGTAACAGTAACTTTTTCAATTTTGCAACGATTTCGATTTTTTTACTATTTTTCAGAAAAAGTTTAACAAAAATAATATTCAAGTAAGAAACAGTACGTGGCTTCTCAAATAATTTATTCTCGAAAAAATGTAAAATCGAAATGAATTCAGTATCTCGACACGCGGAGACATTATTTGATTTTGGCACATTGGCAGTAGAACCAATCACAGAATTCAAACTTTTTTCAGAACATAGATAAATCGTTTCTGACTGGACTAATAAATGTTCTGAGTAAAAAACTGCCTATTCAGGTACGATTACAGAATCTAAACTGGAAGTCGATATCTCTCTACAGATACCGGACATATTTTTTGATTTTGGCATATTATACAGTAGGTTCGATCACAAAATCCAAACTTTCTTCAGAGCAGAGAGAGGTAATTTCTGACTGCACTAATCACTATTTTGGGTCAAAAAATTGCCTATGTAGGTCGCAAAACTGGAATGAAGTTGATATCTCGACAGATTGTGGAGATAATTTTGGATTCTGGCAAATTGAGCGGTAGGTCTGATTACAAATACGAAACTTTTTTCAGAGCAGAGATAGCTCATTTCTGAATGCACTAATGACTTTTCTGGGACAAAAAACTGCCTAATTAGGCCGCAAAATCGAACTGAAGTTGATATCTGGACAGATTGTGGAGATAACTTTTGATTCTGGCAAATTAAGCAGTAGGTCTGATGACTAATACCTAACTTTTTTCAGATCAGAAACCACACTAATGACTTTTCTGCGTCGAAAAACTGCCTAGTTAGGCCGCAAAGCTGAAATGAAGTCGATATCTCGACAGATTGTGGAGACAATTTTTCATTCTGGCCAATTAAGCAGTACGGTCTGATGACAAAATATCAAACTTCTTTCAGAGCAGACATAGCCTCATTTCTGACTCTAGTAACAGATTGTGGAGATAATTTTAGATTCTGACAAATTGAGCAGCAGAGGTCTGATGACAAATTCCAAACTATTCCAGAGCAGAGATAGCTTATTTCTTATTAAGGTGAAGATTTGTACTAGCTGCAAAGACATAACTGATCGATTGAATGAAGAAATATTGTATTTCGTGTAAAATTATCATTTTAATCTCATGCTGTTGTTTTGATTTAACAGTATTCAGATGACAATTGAAAAGTTAATGTTAACAGCCTCTGTCCGTTGAGATTGTTCAACGGCCGGTGGCCGTTAACTGTTTTATAACAGCACGGTGTTGGGATTCTTCTGAAGAATTGTAATCGTAAAATGTAATCTCTCAGCGGGATTACGAACTCTTGAACGAGACACGGCTGATAGGGAAAATAACGGAGTCGGGTTGTAATAATCGGACGACAATATTCAACCTTATCCATCTTTTCACATATCGGCCTTGTAACGTTAATAACTATCAAGCCGCAAAGTGCTTCGGCTAATAAGCTGTCATCAGTGCTTTATATGCAAGTTAGTAATTATCTATGAAATGTTGAAGAAAACGTGTAGATTACTTAATCGTCAAGTATTTACAAAATGTAATCGACGAAATACAAAATGTCTCTATTGGATTTATTTCTGATGAGGTCAATGGTTCTCCAGGGTCGACCAAACTTCAGATAAATATCAGGTGTACAATTTTTTTGCGGGAAATTCTCTTTCGTACCTACCTGACAGTGTCTATCACAGAAACTTTGGAGCCATCTGACGATTCGGAAAGCGATTGCTCGCTACCCGAAATCGTCGACAGTTCTGAAGGCACTAAATCTCTTCTTTCTTCATCCTCATCCTCTTCCCTGCACTGCGACAGTCTTCGAGAAAGTGTCAGCTTGGAGGGATAACTGTTGCTGTGGTTGCTGAAGTACCTATGATATACAAGGTGTTTTATTACTAAGCTATACGGGTGTTTGAAAAAGACGCGGCAATATTTGAGGGGATGATTCCTCAGATCATTTTATGGAAAAAAGTTCCCGTAAATGTAGGTCCGGAAATGCAATGTTTCAAAGGAAGTTTCATTTTAATTTCATGTTATAACTTCAACAAATTCGAAAGATATATAGACATAGAGTGACATAGACACTTTCAACAGTTTTCGTAAATTTTTTGTATGATATCTGGACATGCAATGAAATAGTTTCTATTTTTTATCTAGTAATCGAAGCAAGATACGAAAAAAATCCAAGACACCAAAAAGTTGTAGTTGTAGCCGCTCTATCTCAGAGAATTTTCAAAATTGAATTAAAGCCAGTGGCGTACATAACGCCACTGTTCTTATTAATTTTTATCTAGTTAGATCCAAATCAGCCCCTTAACACTAGACACAACGCTGCCAAATTTCAACAAATACGTGAATAGATATTTGAATTAATTCAAGAAAAACTGTAGCACCCTTCTTAAGGAATCACCCGCTATTATATTGTCTTTTTCAAACACCCTGTATACAGGTTGAATCAAAAATGTGTAGTACAATGAAAAATAAGTATAGTTTGATGAATAAATTAATGGCCCAAAATGTATATTAAGGGAGATATGTCTCCAATGTTGATAAAATTGAGATAATTTTCCCCTCGATTTTCCCACGATTTTCCCACATAACTTCTCAACGGTAATAGCACCAGATTAAATTTTCCTGCAGGAATGTATGTTGATAAAATTGTTTGGATTCACTTTTACATTCCATGCATACCATACATCCATGTTTTGTTTTGGACCATTGGATTGCATTCATTCCGCAAATGAAACTCAGTGTATATCATGAGTGAAATTAGACAAGCAATCTTGAGTATATTTATGTAAATCGACGAATATTTTCAGGCAACATAGTGTAAGGAGTTGTATTCGTATATAATCTATCTGATACTATAAGATAATAAATGATAATGCTAGAATCCGAGCATCAACAAATACTTTTTTATATTTGCTTAAAAACTAGGTTGTTTGGTCACGTGTTCTGTATTGGTAGAGCAGCAAGGTCAATGATTTTAGCTCGATTTTCAGTGAACATCAAAGACACTGCTGGATTCGAGATTTACCCAATATCAGATAACTACTAGGCAAAGACACAAATGCTCGAATTCAATATAATGTGCATATAATTGAAACATATTCAATGCATCAATTTTTTGATAAAATATTACAAATAACACCATTTGAATACCCCACAATTCCATGGGACGTTCGAACATAGCGTTCGCGCCACCAGTACTGACGTGATAATCCCATTTTCTGTGTTGCCAGTTGTTTTATTTTAAGGAAGTCTGGAGTAAATATTTCTCAACTTAGAATCGATCCTACTGTGATCTGGTGAGATAATTTTATATTCATTGATGAAGTAGATGTCATCAATATAGTATGTTTATGGTATAGGTTGTTTACTTCATTTCCCATTCTTCAAGTTTATAGCAGACTGATTAGTAATCGACTAGGTTGTAGCACGTTGTAGGTTCGATCAGCAGCAACAAAATTTGTTCTACCTCTCAATTATTGAAACATGAAACATTCTGACTGAACGATTCTGGTATTCTTTTTAATCAACCTCATATTCAATATCTATGTCATAACATGACACAATCCAGTGTATAGGAAAACAAGAACAAGTGACTTTTGAAATCAGTTAATTCTAAAAGCGATGAATGATCAATATCCAAGTAAGTAAAGAATCGGTTGAAACGACAAGCTGAATAGTGAATTCTGGATTTTTCCCGAATACCAATAGACGGTCGACGCGTTATAGAACTTGTGACGTCCTGACGATTTTTCGTTGTGTTCTAACGGGAGAATTTCCTTGCGAATTTATTTTGAGATATCTAGAATGGAGAAAAATTTAAAACAAATCTCTATGCATTTTCTCATCTTGAACGTCGTAGTATTTCACTAGAAGTTAGTATTCTTGCCTAAATCCGTTTTCTATTCTATTCCAATATGGAATTTGCGAGAGAATACGCACCGTTGGAAAAATGAGTTGTCCTGATCCGGATCAGTATCTGTTGTCTCAGTGTGCTGAGTTATAGTGGAGGCTAGGTCCGTTTCAATGTCGCTCTCGTCCGAAGAGTTGTGCGATGATGAGACTCCGTTGTTCCTCGATGTGGAGGTCTGAGGGATAGGTTCGCTGTCAGGAGAGGTTTCCGATTGCGGTGAGGTGTCAGGGTCCATCTAGATATAAGAAATACAGGGTTGGCATATGAAATAAGTACTTTTATGAAAAAGTAAAAAAAAGTAACTTGAAAACACTGTCATTTACCTAAACAAACTATAGAAAACGCAACAAAAAAAAAACTAAGTTTTTACGCCGGCGGGAGAAGAAGTTAGTTTCTCTGGTAACAAAACAGGGGCAGAAGTCCCCTATTATTCCCTAGGGAGATAATGTGACATATTTTCTCCCTAGGGAGTTTATACCAACTCTACATTTTCCGCATAGCTCTGCGCTTTCTTTTCGGAACACCCTTCTCTGAAGCGAGTATAAGCTGCATCATACAGATTACTAGATCTCACTGGTAGCAAGTTAAAAATCAGTGCAGAAGCAGTATTAATTGTTTCTTGGGTTCTTCCCTCGATTTCTTGTTCCATAACCATTAACCATTTTCAAAGCTGTTTTCATAATTTCAGTTTAATATTTGCTGTCACCATGGGTTGCCAATAAGATGCATGTTGTCAAGATGCAAATTCCACAAACTATATACTACTACTAATTATGACAAAACACTTTCTTTCTTAATTTGTGTGCTTTCGCCAGCGTAAAAAATAGTAATACACCTCAGGACAGAATGCTCATTTTTCCCTCGGTGCTTTGTCGCTCGAAGGCGAAGCACCTTGAAAAAAATCGAGGAAAAAATATTGCATTTCTGTCCCTTGATGTTGCTTGATGTATAATGTACTATTTTATTCCCTTCAAGAATCTTAAAGCATACAATAATAAAACATGCAATTTTTGAACGAACTGGAACTATTATATGCTGCAGGATCAATACCTGTATCAGTTAGTAAATTTGTTGACATTCACCACTCAATAATATCTTATCATGCTTGAAATAACAGATTTTCGCCATAATGCATCAGACTTTTAAGTTTAAACTTGATTGAATCAAATGTAATGCGATTTATTCCAATTGTAAAAAAAGTCATTTGAATGAAATCACTGAATTAATTCATATGAATTAATTCATGCCAAAACCTGTAAGAAAATGAGATATTTTTCCTTGAAACCGCATTTCTTGAACATTCATCTGCATATTTCTGAAATATACAGAGTGTCCCTATAAAGGTATTTACAAAAAACTACTACATATTATTCTTCAGACCAAAAAAAATTGATACAAGCAAACTATCCTCAGTACAATGTTGTATAGTTTGGGCGCTAGACGGCTCTGAAGTTACAACTTTCTTATCGTTTTTCGAGTCGTTTTTGCTTCATAATATTGAATCGGCTCATGAGATCATCTAAAACATCTACGCCAATGGAAGGAAAGGGGCTTGCAAGGGGGTTTGAATATGAAATTTGAATTGTGTAACTTACAATTAGGTCTCTGCGGCTGACGTCACATACTCGAAGATCACTTGCTTGGAGGGTAAAGAATACATGGCAGTATATGGAATTGATACATGCTTTGGTTTTTCTGACTTTTATTCCCGTTCTAAATGAAGTTGTTCTACAAATATTTTGAATTGTGCTATTAATAGACTCAGAGACAATGTGGGATTTTATAGGATACCCTTGGTGCTTGAGAATCACAAGAGAGAGAACAGATTAGCCAAGAAAGAAGAACTGTCTGGATGGAATAATGCATAATCATGATGTTTTATTGTCCAATGAAAATAAAGCTATGCAAATATACCAAATTTGAATTGGGAGGAAAATTGTAACTTCAGAGCCGATTCAGAGCCGTCTAGTGCCCTAACTAAGCAACTTTGTACTTGGGTAAATTTGCTTGTATGGGATTGTTTTGATCTGAGGGATATGTGGTGAATTTTCGTCAAGACCTTTTAGGGACCCTGTATATATTTTTTTATTTACAGGTGCCTATACCCACATAAAGGGAAAATCAACATGGAGATGTTAATTTTTAATTTTAAATTATAATCATAACAATTATGGATACTGTTGTGAATGAAACATTGTTCTCAAATAAACATATTTGATATAAAATATCTCCTAAAATATCAACTGATCCTAGTAGGTACTTACCTATATAATTATAGATTATAGATGTTTTTTCCTAAATTATTCATACTTAATCTAAGTTGTGAATAAAGGATATCATTTACTAATTTATTGAAATATGTAAATTACCTATTATCATGATATTATGATGAGTAATAAAGGTGGAAGAAAATAATGTGGCAATAATGCTGCTTAAGTTTCAACTTCCCACACTTTTTATAATAAAGGTGTAGAACACTTGCTAAAGCAGTATTCAGAAACTATAATCATGAGCGGATTTATTGGTATGGTTTACGATTCATCAGCAAATAAATTGGGATCTGTATAATGAGCTGCATATTTCGCATACTTTACCTTTAAATTTATTTCAATAAAAACAATTCTCGTGATAATTATACATCCCAATGGATAAAATATGATAAACTGCGCAACTATGTAGCTTTTCTCTTTCCTAGAACGATCATGGACACTGTGTGTGAAAAATTTTAGACGCGATTGATTTTCGAAAACCTTGGAATTTTCGAAAATCCCGTAGCGCACAAATATTGTCACAAAATCAACCCACTGGCACTGACATCACTGGAACCATTACGAGGAAAATTGCATGGCCAGCGAGCCATCAATATTCTGATGTTGAAAAATCCAATATTTTTAGAACAAAACAAAAATAATATGACATTACAGAAGGCAAATTCTCAGCTGATCTAATCCAATGATGAAAACTTTACCGACAAAGACAAACATGACATAATAGGAATTTTTTGACAAACTTGCCAATTTTGACTTCTGAAATTGACGGCAGCTGATATTTGTTGAATAAAAAGAAGATAGTTGGGCTTATGTCCGACACCTATGAGAAAATTAAAAGAACAACAAGAAGAAGAAAATTGGGCTTATGTCCGCCACCGCCACCAGACTACCCAGACAACATGGAATAAGAAGAGAAGATTGAAAAGAAGAACATAACCTTGTTCACTCTACTTTCAAGTCAGCACAACATACTGCAAAGATGGGAAAACCAAAGAAAGCAAATCCAAGTGAAAAGACGAATAAAGTCTCATTAGAGCAGGACATTCAGAGCATAAAGTTTGCCAAAAGTAAAGGTAGAAATAAAATTCGCTTGCGTCAAGATGAAACTGAACAGGTAATCATAGTATGATCAAAAATTCCTCCCTATAATACCTGATGTCTTTACAGTTTGTCAATTCCAATTTGTCTCGCAAAATCTTGTCTGAAGCGCGTAAACAGCAGAGAGAAATGGACATGGACGAAGATTCTGAAATACCAAAATCATCTCAGAACCCATCATTGAATCTGGACATGGGTGAAAGTTCTGATCAGGAACTTGAAGAAGACACTCTAGAACCAGATACTTTCTTTGAAAACATAGAAATCGACGAAGATGACGAAGCTGCAATGGAAAAGTTCATGAGCACCAATCCTGCACCAAGAAGAACTTTGGCTGATATCATCATGGAGAAAATCACAGAGAAACAGACCGAATTAGACACACATTTCAGTGATGCTGGGTCTTTGCAGCTTCAAGACCTGGATCCTAGAGTGAAGCAGATGTATGAAGGTGTCAGAGATGTTCTTAGGAAGTACAGGAGTGGGAAGTTGCCTAAAGCTTTCAAAATCATCCCCAAACTGAAAAATTGGGAGCAAATACTATATATAACAGGTAAACTTTGCTGCTTTGAAACAGTGCTGGACATTTTTTCCTGTACGCAGTGCTTTTGTAAAGTACTGAACAAATTGATTCTTAGTCAAACCATCTATTCTGGAGGATTCTCTTGAGACAGGTCTATTTTTATCTGCTTTTTGCCACATTTTTGAGAAACAATTCAATATACAGGGTGATCCACGTTCGAGCTATGACGTCGACGACTATTTTTTCTAATGGAACACCCTATATATTATTCAATTATTGGAATCTCAATGGAAAGGGGAATTCAAGAATATATCACACTTAGGGTTTGTTAAATTGAGTATGCTCTTGAAGAAGGTTGATTTGCTACATTTCAAAGGAACAATTGAATATACAGGGTGATCCATGTTTGTGATGATTTTTTCAACTAGAACATGCTATATATTCAATTTTAGGAATCTCCATGAGAAGCTGAATTCGAAAATATATCATATAAAGGATTCGTTTACAGTGGGTCCATTAAATTAAGTGATCTTGTAAAATGGAGTTGCCATTAGAAAATTAATTCTGAATTCCTCATACATGAATCATTCTGTATATATCAATCAAATCAATAAAAATGTCCCAATGAAAATAAAATTCCATGGCTTTCAGTGTTCTTTAGAAATATTATTTCTTTAATTTTCAAGGAATTTATTCACCACTTTAGAAGAGCACAAAATGCATAGATGCAATGTATACAAACCCTATGTGTAATATATTTTTCAATTCAGCTTTTGATTCAAAAAATTTCGAAATTATAGGGTGTTGTACATGAAAAAAATTGTCATGGACATCATTACCAAAACGTGGATCACCCTATATATTCCATGTTTCCATTCAAAATGTGACAAATTGAAAATAAAATTCAACCTATCTCAGGAGATTCCTCAGAAATAGATAGTTTGACTAAAAATGAATTTATTCATCACTTTATGGAAGAACTATATTTTTCAAGATCCTCCTACTTGGACTGCTGCTGCCATGTATCAGGCAACCAGAATTTTTGCATCTAATCTAAAGGACAAAATGGCACAACGCTTCTTCAATTTGGTACTACTCCCACGAATTAGGGATGACTTGGCTGAATACAAAAGATTGAATTTCCATTTGTATCAAGCTCTAAGGAAATCCTTGTTCAAATCTGGAGGATTCATGAAAGGTAAATTTACCTTCATTCATGGAGAAAAATGTTGATATTTCATTACCTCATTTTAGGGATTTTGCTTCCTTTATTAGAAAGCGGAAATTGCACCCTTAGGGAAGCAATTATTATTGGATCTGTGGTTACAAGAAATTCCATCCCGATTTTGCATTCATCTGCAGCAATTCTGAAAATAGCTGAGATGGATTATACAGGCGCCAATTCAATTTTTCTAAGAATATTTTTCGATAAAAAATATGCATTGCCATACAGGGTTGTAGATGCTTGTGTTTTTCATTTTTTGAGGTAAGTCAGTCTATTTTTGTTGTCATCGGAATTGAAACTTGGCATGATTTTTTTTCAAGGTTTGAAAATGATCCTCGTGAACTTCCTGTACTATGGCATCAAGCATTTTTGGCGTTCGTGCAGAGATACAAAGCAGATATCTCCAGTGAACAGAGAGACAGTTTGTTGCAACTCTTAAAGAAGCAATATCATCATACAATAACAGCAGAAATTAGGAGGGAGTTGCAAAACGCAAAATGCAGAGATTTGGAAGATGCTACACCGCAAATGGACATGGATTAGAAATTGAGATTTGTTATATTTTGAATAAAACCTAAGTTAGTTGATAATTTCCGAAATTTTCTATATTCAACCCCAAATTATATAGACTAGTGACTAGTGTGAGTTACCTCAAAGATTGAACAAACTAAGCCAGCAGGTGACGACAAAAACCAGAAGATGAATCTGCCGGCTAGATGTCTCGACAAGTGAAGTAGTAGAATAAGAAGATTCTATGGCCAGCATATCAAAATAAGTGAGGATGAAGTGGGATGAACACGAGAAGAAGAATCTAAAAACGAGAATATGAATCTGCTGGCTAGATGTCTGGACAAGTGGAGAAGTAGGAAAACAACTAAAACAATGAGAACTCAATGTAAACATTGTTTACATTGCGTTCAATGATTATAGAAGTGCCTAAACCTTTCGAACCATTCCCATCACGTGATATGTTGAGTTTTTTTATGATTATTTTTCACAATAAAATTATTGTGGAGGCTAATAGTCAGTTCATATAAATCATTTATTTTTAATATACATTCAACGTAATAGTTGAAATGTAGTCTCACAAGATGTGCATTGAGCATCAGCGTCAGTTGTACCTATATAACCATAATATCAAGTTATTTCTATGAAGTTTTATACTGGTCCACTAACACTATGACGTCAGCCCACTGTTATCATTTAGGCTTTCAAGGATATTTTTCCTTTAGGAATGGTTCGAAAACTTTAGGCTATAGTCTGATTATGGCAAACTCATCTCTGATTATGGCCAGCCATCTCAAGCCATCCCAATGATAAATATGGAATTGAAAAAGTTTGAGGGATTGCCCAACAGACAAGAAAAACTAGGAGAGATCCAGTAGTTGATATAATCTACTACTAAATCAAATCATTCAAACTTGTAAATAGTACATCATGTTAGTCATTAGCCTATTCTGGGGAGTTGTGGAAATAGGGGGAATCAAATCTTTCTGTTTAAATATTAATTTCTCTTCAAATACACAAACAAGGATCAAGCAATACAGTCCCTTTTCTGCTTCAATTCGTCTAGCTGCTTTCTAATTTCATCTATTTCTTCTTCAGTTACAGTGTGCTGGACTCCACAATGTTTCTCTTCATCTCTGATGAATGCTAGGGTTCTTATTTTTTCTTCTAGGAATGCAATTTGTTCAATTTCTAACTGAGAATGGTATTGTTTGAGACGACTTTGCACAATGTCCTCACAATATTTGTCAGTTAGCTTTTGCAATGATTCTTTTCTAGTGATACTGTGGTACTTTGGTGGGTGAGGTTTGTACTCTAGATTTAATGTTGCCAAAAGCCATTCGAATTTTTTATAATCCCACCGGCGCAAGTATTTCAGATGTTTCTTTCTCTTATCAATCAATTCCTTCAATTTCACTTTCAATCTCCTGTTAGTAGGGAACCTTTCCATTATATCCTGGAAAGCTCTAATTACCCCTGAAATGATGCATAGAATAATGGATTGGGATGGCCATTATTCAATTAATCTGGTTGACTTACCTGTCCATTTGGCCATTTTGACTTCTATGGAACCCACATCATAGTCGTGTCTTTTGACTTGTTCAATCAAACTAGAGAAATATATTCTGTTTGTGAATTTCTTTGGGGCGAATTCCAGAGTGAACAATTTTTTCACATTTTCGTTGGCAGTTTGTAACTCTTTAGAGTTTTTGAAATCCAACATGAACTGCTGCTTTTCAATGGGTGGAACACCACCTAGGTCTCCGGACTTGCCTGGTTTGTAAGATGGGATTACTTCCGGACGAACCCATTTGATTTTCAAGTCACTTTTGAAAGCGTAATTTCTTACAAATGTTTTATTCAGAGTGAGCTTTTCAATTTCCTTCAATATGAATCTATAGTTATTCATTTCTTCACTTAAACTTAAACCTTAAACTTAACCTTACTTCTTCTAACCTAACTTACCTAACCATTCTCTTCTTCTTCTCTTTTTATTTACGCAAAAAGGTATGTTCCATTGCTGAACCTGCTGAAGTTGATTTTTCACTATCATGTGAGGAGTGACTACGGAATTATTGTGATTTGTGAACACTGGTTGAGTTCTATGAGTGTTAGTGTGTTAGTGATAGTCTTGAGTGTGACAGTTTGACAGTTGCCACTTGGCCCCAACTTTCACATCTTTGACAGATGCTAGGTCATTGTGTCATTGACGTTTACGTCATTGTTCTTCCCTTCAAAATTGATAAAATTTTGAGGATGAGTGAAAATAAATAATTATTTTTAATTATTCTCAGTTTGGTTTGGCGAGTTATTACCATTACTCTCGAGATAAAGGCATGAGTGGTTATTTCCTAGGAGGTGATTTTTAAACATAAAAGATACTTGGAGTTTTTGACAAAGGAAATAAGTAATTCACTCAGGATCATTTCAGGCAACAAATGAAATAAGATACATTTCGGGTACAGAAAAACATAGAATTTTTGCAAAATATACGAAATGTCAACAGGTTCCAGCCCTTCACATTATGCACAAGATGCTTTTGTAACTGATGCAAATTTCAAAGTACAAATCAATCAAAAGATGAAGGTTCCAGACAAGATCAGCTTCAACACGGACATGAACAGTGATAACAGAGTGTCTTGGGCTGCAGACAACTTCAATATGAATGTCCCTGAGAGGATACTGGTTTCAGAACAGCACCAATTTATAGGTAGGCCAAAAATTATCCTCTTGGGTGGTACTGAGAATTATTGAATGCATTTTTTTAAGGTTCAAAAGCCCCACCTCGTGAAATAGTATATGACAATTCCTTAATCACATCAGACCCTTACCAAAATGGCCTTCCACGCGTAGCCACACCTCCTAGAACTTTGACATTGGACAAATACCCTTTTCCAGAGATTGATGAATATGAAGAACCTGAGGAAGAGCACATTCCTGTTATAAAACCCAAAGCCAAAGTACAGTTGAATGATACAAGTTTCCAGGTGTCTAATTCCTTCAGGGACACCAGCTTAGCAGAAGGGCTCACTCCTGGTGAGGAGGTGCTGCATTTGCGTAGGCAAATGGCCAAGATCAATAGAAGAGTGATGGCTTTAGAACTGGAGAATTTGAACAGGCTGCAGAAAGAGAAGTTTGTAGTTGGTTTTGGTATTGCTTATTTCCTGTTGAAGGTTATCATTTGGATGAACAGGGAATGAGTTAGGTGATTGATAGCATTGCTCTAGTTAAGATTTGAAACCTTAAACTTTGTTTTCTATTTTACTTTTTGATTTTGAAGGCATGAAATAACTTTATGGAAGTGAAAAAACTTGAGTAGTGTATAAAACTATTTCTTATTTAATTTCAAAGAGTTATTGTTTCACCTTTGATGATGGAATTTTTTATCATGGAAACATGTTTGCTTTATTAGTTTGACTTTTCATTCTTGAAATATGTATGTACATCAATATATTGTTTTTTGGTTAAATAAATGATTATCATTGTAGTTGAAGAAGAATTATTAGTTATTGATTTCATATTAAATATTATTCATTTCACATTACATGACCATGTTGAACAATCAACTCTCTTTATCCGAGCACTTTCATTTTTGATAATTGTAAGTTCTACCAATCTTGAATTCAAAATTCAACAGATTATATTATTCAACTCTGTATGATCTAAGATCTAACCATCAACAAATCAGCTCTGCAAACACTGACGGCTTTATTGGGAACTACCGATTTGGCGACACTGAAGTAATAAATCGTAGCAGTTTTCTGTTAGCCCTGCTCATTGCAGAAATCTGTAATTGATGTTGATTCTTGTTCAATACATTGCTAGGAAGTTCTTTTATCGACTGATAGGTGGCAGTAGACGGAGTATCTCCAATTCGCCATTCTTTTCGGAGTTTTGCTGGCACCATCTGGCACACTGACTGAGAACTGGTAAACCAGCTTAGGCCTAAAATAGCTCTTCACCAGATAACTAGGTTTTTGGGAAATTGTGAAATTTTTTATATTTGGTGTCAATAGGTTATAGATACAAAATTCTTATGACATTTCAAGCAAGACCGGCAAAATATAGGATAAACATAAACTCAAAATATCGATGAAGTTTTCTCATGAATAATTCTGTTAATTTGTCCGATTTTATTATTTAGTTTCATATAAGGGAACTAGCATGCCCAAGTTCCAAATATCAATAAATCCAGACATACCAATGAGTTCATATTATACAAGGTGGCACAAAACGTGCCTTTTTAATCTAACTTTGGAACACGTGTTTCATTCACGCTATGGAGTTATATGCTGTTTTCCTTTTTAATTTTTGTATTTTTATGAAGTTTTATTTATTCCTGACATTTTATTTTTAATTATTACATAACTTCATTTCTATAAGAGCAACAAAAGGCGAAACTGTGCAATTAAGTAAGTATATCTAATATGTTCAGTGTTGTGAGATTTTTGAACTTATTGTTATCTCAAGAAGTTTGTTAATTTCAAGTCTGATACGATTATTCGTTTCATTATAGCATGTGTATATTCATAACAATTCTGACAACCGCTTGAAATTTCAGGAACATCAAGATGAAGTCCTTTTTATACAGGGTGACAGTGGTGACACGGGAAGTATCTTTTCTACTCTAACTTCACAATAATCTATCCCAGCGTATCCCAGCTACACACCCTGTAGTTTCTCTTTTTGTTATCGAGCTATACAGGCTGATTTACGGTGGATGGCACATAAGAGAGAATGCAACCTAGGATTATTCTGAAAAGTTTGTGCCTTGAATAAGTAGTTGTGTTCTATCGACCTAAATTATTCTCAGCGTTGCGACGTTGCTGCTTATAATGAAAACTAGCAACAACTTTTTTTAAACGGGACACCCTGTATATTATTCTATTTTCATTCATTCTCCTGAAAAGCTGATTTCATTGACCTATAACACTTGGGGTCTAGCAATAATAATCACAGAGTTATAGGATGTGGAAAATCGATATTTTTCAATTTTAGGAATTTTTTGTATCGAAACTATTCATAATTGGTCAAAACGGTTTTCATATGTCCCTATTCCAACATTTTATTCACTATCAATTGATATTTAATTTAAAAAAATACATGGTGGTTCAGAATTTATAGATTTTTGACCACCCTGTATCTATTTCAATTAACTACCAATTGATAGTACGTGAAAAGTTGAGATAGAGACATGGAAACCGTTTCGACCAATTATGAATATAGTTTCGACACAAAAAATTCCTAAAGTTGAAAAATCTCGATTTTTTCATACCCTATATATCTTTGTTATCATTCCCGCCAGACCCCAAGTGGGATAGATCGATGAAATCAGCTCTTCAGGAAGAATCTGAAAACGAAATGATATACAGGATGTCCCATTAAAAAAATCAAAGTTGTTGCTACTTTTTAATATAAGCGGCAACGTCGCAACGCTGAGAAGATTTCAGGTTGATAGAAGACAACTAATCATTCAAGGCACCAACTTTTCAGAATAATCCTGAGTTACGTTCTCCAGAATCGTCTAATGTGTCATCCATCGTGAATCAGCCTGTGTATCTATTGCTCACACTATATTTTTCATTTGTAACAATAACTTGATCTTTTTAAAATATAGCAAAGGCACCTCACCTCTGCCACAGGGCGTTAAGAATATAAGGAAGAAAATGTAACATTTTGAAACAATAATCTACGATTTGGTCGAGATTTCACCACAATCGGACGAGAATTAAAAAAGTTACAATATAGGGGGCATCAATAAGTCAAAAAAAAATGCTGTCCGGTTTTTTTGCCGGTGAGTGTGTTTGTGCTTTTGCAGTGAAAAAACCGAAAAAACCATCGACAGTAGAGTTTTGTGCTATTATACTGCCCGCAACACACCTTGGCAGCAACCCCATTAAAATCGGATTATTTACAGTTAAGGTGCCGTTAAAAAAACTGTGTACTTAATGATTAACGGCCATCATAGAGCTTAGAAATATTCGTAGAGCTTAATAGAGGCGTCAGTGAAACTCATTAAACCCAAAATAGAACAGCAAACAAAGTTAATAACAGTTTAATGCCGTAATCTATCACCCCGAAAAGGCACCCTTCGTCAGTACTCAGTACCGAGAAGACATCAGCATCGGCATCAAAGGTGGAAGCCCTTTAGCCCTTAATCCCACTGACATCAGACACGTCCGTCGAATAATTTAATTAAAATCAGATCGAGGGGCAGTTTTTAATTTCATTGTTCGTAAACAGGACAAAAGAGTCGGTCGCGGATTACCGGGATTATCGTGTCAATATAATAGCGCCAAAACAAACGCCGTCGTTTTATTGGGTATCGCATGAGGCGACGTTATTAGATTCTCTAGTTTTGGACGTATATATAGTAATGGAGGCGATGTGACAGGGATCACGATTTTTACATATTATTATGTAATACCACAAGAATGATACTATGTTGCCGGAAATATTCGGCGAATGTTATGACAACTCGTTGCCTAATAATTTCGCGAATGACATTGTTTAGTAAAACTTTCGAGCAGCAAGCTGATGGAGCATGTCAATCAACAGATATTTCCACCAAAAATAGTATCACGAGTTGTATTCGTATGAAGGTTTCATGATTGAGACAATAAACGAGCGCCTCGCGAGAGCTGCGCACACTGCATCCATCATTCTGGCTTCCAACATGATTGTCGTCTAGTCGTCGAAAATTTTATCGCTGAGAAACGAGGTTGGTTGATCACGTGGGGGGGGGTCAATTCAGCTTCTGTATTGGTAGAGCAAGTCCGATAACATTTAGTCAACAAAAAAATATAGCTGTAATACAGTAGAAACCATGAAAATGGTCGATTCGGATTGGTAAGGTATTGAGAACAAGAGTGGAATAGTCACTCTAAAATACAGGGTATTCCTGAATGTAATTTTTTTATCGCATGAAGAGCACGAAAGGAAATCCCTATAATGTTCGAAGAATATCGTGCCTATAGGTGGTATAGGTATTGGACTCTTTTGGAACTGAGAATTCTTGGAAATACTTTCTCAGGCAATGAATTTCATAGCTTTACCGTTCATTAGACAAACGAGTTTTGATAAAGTGCTGTTCGACATATTTCGTGGTTGACAACGGAAGGATGTGCTGACATGGGCTTATCGAGTTCGTCTGACTGGTGTTGCTCTAGTGATGGAATGACAGTATAGAGATCACTGAAAAACATCTGCCGTGGAAGTATCTACGGTTTTTCAATTATCTCAAAGAGTGAGCATTCTAAAACAGGCCGTATCACTGCTTTGTAGATCGTGAGAAGCTGTCGAAGTGGCTTTAAACATGCAGGGAACAAAAGTTCTTAGTTTCTTGGGAGGAAATGGGAATTCTGGAACTTACCTATTTTAGGAGATGATTCCTTGGGTAGTTTCAGAACTTAAGTGGCAAATTGGACTCATGTTCAACTCTTTGAAATTGTTAAGCTGCTTGTTCAGCTCAGTCTTTTGTCTAATCATGTGACTGGTCTATCTAGCCGGTTTCAAAATGCATTGAACGTGGTTAGTCTGGTTAGAGAATCGTAATGAGTGGTTCGTTTTCACTTGACAGGATGTCTCCATAGTTGGAAACATCGGCCCTTACTTTTTTGAAGAAGATAATCTGGCTTGAAATGGACATATACATACCCCATTCTTCAAACAGATCGTTACCTACGAAGACCTGGTTCAAGAAAAACTGTTCTAGAGTTGCTGTCTTCAAACAAACAGCCTGCCATCGCTGACGCAAAACCCCTAACCACGTGACTGGAGGAATATGTTGAAGCCAGGAATAACTGCAGCGAAACAATAGATGCATCAAAAGAATAATCGTATACAATGCCGAAATAAGATCAAAACTCATAGATTGTCCCAATGGCTTCCGTTCGTTCATGGTCGCTTACTAAAAGCAGTCTGAAGGAATGTCACCAATAGTTGACTAATAGTTCATTCTCACCAATTTTAAGAAAAACAATTTTAACGGTACCTCAAATCCAGACCTAATGAACAACATCAACATGTGTAGTGAAACTCTGGAATACTGTCAGGTAGCTGGATTTTTAGGAATAATTCTTGATCAAAAGCTAACATGGGAGGCACATATCGACAGTTTATGTGTCTAAGATTGCAGTGCAAACTACGCAATTCGGAATCTGCGAGGCACTGTCTCTACAGAAGTTATAAAACTCATGTATTATTACAATCTAGGCTACAAGTATGGATTG